TTGCGTGAACAGTCGTGGTAGATACTTGATGATAGCATAGTATGGGGATAGGCGTCGGAAGGGTGTGGTGATGGTGCCAGAAGGTGTTAATGGTGAAGGATGGGTTTCGATCTCGCGAGTGTTTCAAGCTATAGTTGACTCATTTGTACTTGGAGACAAGGCCAAACGTCAAATGGTGAACGCAGGACGCTGACAAGGGATGACATATGCTGAAGTTACGGCAAATGTACATACCACGCAAAATGTTGATCGAAGGGTGCTAATGCGAAAGGAAAATACAGTTGATGTGAGTGATAATGAAGGCATTTGTATGACGCATAAACCTAAGGAAACACATGTAGAACAATCTTATGACGGTATACTAGATTGTGATGAAATAAGGGCTCGTGTCCAAGCGTTGAAAGAAGAATTGGATTAATTATCTAGGCTTGTGGGATGTGGATCTGTAGCGAAATCGAAGATTCTCTTTTATCATAAGTGTGGGGAGGGCATGGAAGCAAAAAGCTTGCCTCTTAAGGAGCTATCACTAGATGTAGACCCACTAAAGATAAGGGGGATAATGACTTAGGGGTCGAAGCAGATAAAGAGATGGGACGTTGGTCTAACATAGAGAGCCGAATATGATAAATTTGGAGTCGGAGACACTGGGTATGACAACATGACGGCAGTTGACGGATTCTTATCGCCTGTGAAAGAGACGGGATATACATTAGTTAGCGATCGAGCTTTGACTGAACTGAAAGAGCACGACATGTTTAAACACCTTGGTTCGGAACACATATAATAGAAGTCATTCGAAGCCCCTAAAAGAAAAGAAATTAGGGACTGACAAAGCTCTAGTGTTGTGGGCAGATGGCGCCAAGAAAAGAGGAACTGACGGAGATACCGAGCAAATGGAGGAAGTAGACGGATAACCATATGACTTCTTGGAATATCATCATGCAGAGAAAACAACGGAGATGCATGCGATTGAAGGTCCCCCACCTTCAAATTAGGTTCTTAAAAAAATTCAGGTTTTCAGCAAGTTAGTTAGTGTGTCCTGCGATGGATATGAAAGTAGATTGTTACAATTATTCGCGGAGTTGGAGGCCAGTAGGAGACAGGGGATGAGCATACCAGGCAGTAAAACAAGAAGAAAAGGTGATCGTGAACTTAAGCGGCTTGAATGGTTAGTAAATTATGGTGGCAAGGGTGTCGGGTAAAAGAAAGGATTGCTTGGGAGGGATGACAAAGAGTTAAGATGATGCCAAAAATAATTAGCTGGAACGTAAAGAGGCTTAATGTAGCAGAGAAAAGATTAGGGGTTCGAAATCTGCTAAAGGGATGGAGGGCGGACTTAGTCTGTTTACAAGAAACTAAGTTGGAGTTCGTCTCGAGGGCTATTGTGAGCAGTTTATGGGGAGGACAGCATGTTGGGTATCAATATAAGGGATCATCAGGGGCCTCAGGAGGTGTGTTAGTCATGTGGGACACGAGAACTCTTGATATGAAGGAGGTTAGTAAAGGACTATTTTCTTTATCGCTTTCGTTCAAAAATGTTGGGGATGGATTTTATTGGACGTTTATAGGAGTTTATGGGCCTAATGATGATGAGAGTAGAAGTGGATTGTGGGATGAATTGGCAGGGATGATGGCTTGGTGGAACATTCCAACTTGTATTGGGGGTGACTTTAATGTGATTCAATTTCCTACTGAGAGATCAAGTGGTGGGAGATTAACAAAGGCAATGGAGGAGTTCTCAGATTTTATCAGGGAAAATATGTTGGTAGACATGCCTTTGATTGGAGGAGACTTTACTTGGTCTTCTAATCGGGAGTAGCCTATTTTATCGCAAATAAATCAATTTCTAATTAGTGGGGAATGGGAGGAGAAGTACCCAGAGGTTACCCAGAGAAAATTAGGAAGGGTGTATTCTAATCACTTCCCTGTCTTACTAGCTAGGAATGCGAGATGTAGTGTAAGAAGACCTTTCAGGTTTGAGAAGATGTGGCTAAAAGTAGAAGGCTTTAGGAAGCGTGTACGGGACTGGTGGACATCTTACAATTTCAGGGGGTCTCCCAGTTATGTGTTCGATCAAAAATTGAAAGTCTTAAAGAGGGATATAAAGAGGTAGAATGAGGAGGTGGTGGGAGATGTAAACTGGCGTAAAAACCAATGTATGTTAGATATAGAAGAGCTGAATAAGAGGGAGGAGAGTCAAGGACTAGTAGGGGATGAAAGGGAGAGACGTGGAAAACTAAGAGGAGAGTTGGAGAGGTTGGTGGAGATGGAGGACTAGGGTCAAGTGGTTGAAAGAGGGTGATAAATGTACCCAGTTTTTCCATAGAGTTGCCAATTCTAACAAGCGTAACAATTCTATCCCCATGCTGGTGTGAGACAGAGTTACTTATGAAGATCCACAACATATTGGGACCCAAATGGTGAATTTCTATCAAAATTTGTATCGTGAGCAGTTTGATTGGAGGCCAAAGTTGGAAGGGTTAGATTTCTCTACTATTACTGAGGAGGATGCAAGCTGGTTAGAGAGACCATTTGGGGAGGATGAGATTAGGGAGGTGGTGTTCAGTATGAATGATGATAAAGTACCAGGGCCGGACGGATTCTCATTATCATTTTATAAGGCTTGTTAGGAAGTGGTACGATCGGATATTGTGGATGTTTTTACTTATTTCTTTCGGTGTGGCAGGTTCTTGAGAAGTTCAAATGCTACATTTATTGTGCTGATTCCAAAAAAATCGGGAGCAGCGGATATTAAAGATTTTCGTCCGATCAGCTTAGTTAGCGAGGCATACAAGATCATTGCAAAGCTGCTGGCTAACAAATTAAAGGAGGTGTTGGAAAATGTGGTGTCTAAATTTCAAAATGCCTTCGTCAAAGGGTGTCAAATATTGGATTATGTACTCATAGCAAATGAATGCATTGACTCGAGACTGCATATAGGGATTCCAGGGATGTTATATAAACTTGATATTCAGAAAGCCTATGATCACCTAAAGTGGGGATTCCTTTTGTATATGCTCAGGCGATGTGGCTTTGGGGACAAGTGGTGCCGTTGGATTCACTTTTGTATATCTACGGTCTCGTATTCGGTTTTGGTAAATGGCACTCCTAAGGGTTATTTCCGGAGTTGTAGAGGTTTGAGGCAAGGGGATCCGTTGTCTCCATTATTGTTTGTCCTTGTTATGGAGGCTTTAAGTATGATGATTGAGAAAGCTGTAGGAGAAAGTCTGTTGAAGGGTTTTATGATTAACTAGCTACAGGTTTCCCATTTGTCATTTGTAGACGATACATTGATCTTTTGTGATGCAGAGGCTAAGCAAGTTAGGAACTTGCGCCGTCTATTACTATGCTTTGAAACTGTATCTGGATTGAAAATTAATTTGAGGAAATCTGAGGCCATCACAGTTGGGGATGTTGCTAATGTGGAGGAGTTAGCGGCCACATTAGGTTGTAGGACTGTGCAACTACCTATGTCCTATCTTGGGCTCCCCTTAGGAGCACGGTTTAAAACATACACATTTGGAATAGTATTGTGGAAAGAGTGGAGATGAGGTTAGCGGGTTGGAAACGTATGTACCTCTCAAAGGGAGGCCATCTTACACTCATCAAGTCCACTCTATCGAATCTACCCACTTACTTCTTGTCATTGTTTCCTATCCTCGTTACCATGGCAAAAAGATTAGAGATGATTCAAGGGGAGTTTCTTTGGGGAGGTTTAGGGGAGGAGATGAAACTTCACTTGGTTAACTGGAGCGTAGTGTGTTTCCCCATAAAAACGGGGGGCCTCGGATTGAGGAGTCTTGTATTGTTTAATAAGGCCTTGCTGGGTAAGTGATTGTGGCGATTCGGTGTGGAGAGGAAAAGCTTTTGCAGAGAATATAGAGGCAAAATATGGTGTTCTAGAGGGGGGATGGTGCTCAATCGAGGATCGTAGTTCTTATGGGGTGAGTTTGTGGAGGTATATACGACAAGGGTGGAGAGAATTTCAGGATAGATTGACGTATGAGGTAGGGAAGGCAATACTATCAGATTCTAGGATGATTGTTGGTGTACAGATCGGCCATTAAAAGCTGAGTATCATTCCCTGTATCGTATTACTTTGATACAGCAGGCTATGGTGCATGAAGCCTTACATGCGCATAATGGGAATCCCAGCTGGAACATTGTTTTTGGGAAGGGTCTACAGGGTTAGGAATTGGATGATTATGCACTATTCCTGACTTCTTTGTATAAGGTACACGTCAAGGTGGGCGAAAGGGATCATAGCAGGTGGAGATTGGCACGCGATGATATTTTCTCAGTAAGCTCTTATTTTAGATCTTTATTGGAACTTGAGAAGAATTTATTCCCATGGAAGAAGGTATGGCATTGTAAACTACCCCTCGAGTGGCATTTTTCCTATGGACGATTGTGAAGGTACGTGTTAACGGTAGATAACCTCTGACGCAGGGGTTTCTATGTTACGAAATGGAGCTATGTGTGTCAGAGAAATGAGTAGACGATTGACCACTTGTTCATTCATTGTGACGTTGCTTGCACCCTATAGAATGATATTTTGGCTTATCAACACATAGATTGAGTGTTTCCACAATGTATGGAGGATGTTTTGAAAGTATGAGGGAGAAGATTTCGTAATAAAAATAACAAGATTGTTTGGGCCCTTGTCCCATGATGTATCATCTGAAGCATTTGGAGGGAGAGAAATAGTCGTCGTTTCAACAATAATACACGAACAACAGAACATATTAAAAAATTGTTTTATCTGACACTATATATTTGGTTTAATGCTGTGGTTATTACTCGCATAGATAGGTTGCCCAATTTCATGTCATTTCTGTCTTGTATTAATTGATAATACACTTTTTGTGTATTATCCATAATTAATAAAATATTTGATTACTTATATATATATGAGAGAGAAGAAAATAAGAGCAAATTTATTTATTTTTTCTTTTTTTCCGAGGATTTCCCAAGAGAAAAAGGTTAATTGAGCTGAAAACTATAAAAAGTCTGGTCCAATAAATTGATTAATAGAAACATCTCGATAGTATCAATTATTTTGTACATAAAGAAATGGAGACAGACTCTGAAATTCAGAACGTTTTCGAGCTGCTCTTCTGAATGGCTTTCTATTGCTCCAAAACAATCTTTCACAGCCACTATGATTTCTTATCACATCACCTCGGTCCTCGTCCATGGCCAATCGCGTCTTCTTTGAAACAGACTCCCGCTTCTGCAACTTCTTTCGTAATTCAGTTCGTCTTAAAGGTGTTTGAGGTTCTTCAAATTTACCACCAGTAAATCTGCCAAAAATTAGCAAGGAATAAGTACAAAACCCACAAAAACTCAAAGGTCGTGCTATTTATACAGTATGCTGCATTATGTCGTGCAAGAAAATTCAATAAAAGATCCAAAGCAAACAACTTAACAAGTTAAACTTACCTCTGCTGTGCTACTGGCGCCAATCCATCCATATCCTCTCCAGGTTCAAGAATACACGCTGGACAAATGTAAATCTTTGGTGTTGAAGAGATTTTCATGCAATCAAAATGATACCATTCATTGCATTTATCACAAGCAAGAACTGCTCTCTGGTCATAAGGTCTTCGACAGATGCAGTAAAGCATACTTCGGTCCCTCAGTAACTGCACCAACCAAATATAAGAACTAGAAACGAAACACAAGCACATTAACCTCCATAAATAATTTGCTATATGGGTACCTTCAGTTCCTTCACACAGTTGACAGGTAAATTTTCACCCTCAGTAATGAGTTCAAAAACTTTATCCAATCTAAGTGCTCCACCATCCATTGAGACCTGTTTGGAGAAATAAAAGCATAATTTTCATCAGACTGTTGAATGCACCTTTTGTTTTCAATTGAACACAGGAAAAAGAAGGACCTTCTTGGCTTTATCTGTCCATAGCAAGCCAATGTCCCTCAATGCCGACAGTTGCTGTCTATAATAATCTTCTGGAGGAATGCTTACGGCCAGTCCCTAAGGCAAGTTACAAGGTAAATCATGCCTGCACATCTAATAATTTGTGGGATAACAAGTCACCAGAAATCACCCTTTTCTTAAAAATATATAAAGGTCCCTCAAATATCAGTCTGTATGTCTATTAATTTACTACCTTTTAACATTTAGGCCAACCATTATCAAGGACTAAAGGTACCCGAGCACACGAGTAACTTCGGCCCCAAACTATGGATTTGAATGACATTATTTAACTCTTCCTAATGACATCATCTTTATCGTGCCTTCCATTAACACAGGAAAGAAAATTTGGTTTCAACCCCCACTACAATGCCATAAGACCATTCGGGAACGTCGTGACAAGAACAAAGAAATATGCAGTCCTTGAGAGAGTACGGATCTAGAGTGGCAATACCTCTTTAAGAAGCCGTTGAATCTGCTGAATTGTGGGCTTCTCAGCACTTTCCAGTAATTTCTGAGTTCTAATTTTCCATGAATTTCTTGCTAAAGCCAACTCAAATTTTCGGTATCCCTTACCATCACAAGTTCCTGCTAGTTCTATTGCCTATGCACAAAGAAAATACTATGACTTTATATAAATAAAAAAACAACAATTTCAATTCATGAATTACATTGTCGAAATGAAGGTGTAAAACAATAAACTTCTAATGAAAATGATGGCCTCAAGATAGACGACGAGAAATTATAAAAAAAAAAAGATTGTAAAACAACATCCATATATCAAGCAAACAATGCTAACGTTAATCAATAAGAGAACATTTAACAGATACCTTGTAAGCAATGCTCATTTTTTCAATTACTGCACTGAGATCTTTATCAAGATGAGATAAAGCAAAATCCAATAATTCTGTTAGGCAAGCATTGCATGCACGCACTTTCTCAACAATTTGGTGAAGTATCCTTCTTTCCTCAATCCTGACAAAAGAAGTGTATGAAATCACTTTAAAATAAAAATAAAGTAAAAAATGGTCCAGACCATAATTTCTTACATAACTAGGCCCTGTTTGAACCCCAATTCTTTAAAAAGACATTTTTTTCCTAAACTCACTTTCAACCGCTCATTCTCTCAATAAAATATTTTTACATGTAAATCCAAAATTTTTCCTACTTTTTAAGGGCATGTTCTCCAAAATAAATTATTACAAAATCTATTCTCCCAAAAAAAAGGAGCTCAAACAGGGGCTAGATACTACTATGTAAATAAATAACTAAATAATGCATAGTAATAAGTCGACCTATAAGTATTAATAGACAAATAGCAGTATGGATTTGAGCTCGAGAACGACAATAAGAAGAGTAAGTGAAGCAACAAGGAAAGAGCTAAAAGTCTATTCAAGGCGAAAGACTTTGATTAAGTAGAATTGGAATTTATCTAGATCCTAGTAGTTATTTGATATCTTTTTAATTCAGTTTATCTAGATAGAAAGTATGATGTTATCTTTTGTTTCAGTTTATCAGGGTAGGAAATTTGATGTTATCTTTTATTTTAGTTTATCTAGATAGAAAGTTTGTTTGGTTGCAAAGTTCTTCGCTATATAAAGAGACTCTGGGAATTGTTTTCAGCACACTTGAATTATATGGATAAAAACTTTTCCTCTTGCTCTCAATTCTTCCTTCTTTGATCCCCTTTCTCTTGAGCTTATTGTTCTTTATCAATTTTGTGCATTTCCTGCATCAGTAATAGTTGGAGACCTTATAAAAAGAATTTGATTTTCAATCTTACCAACACTGCAAAGAAATACAACTATACTGTTTTGATACTAAAAAAGGGGTAATTAGCACAAAATGTCCATACCTTTCAATCTTATTATGCAAAACGTCCCTACCTTTTATTTTTTGACATTTTCACCCTTACTTTCACATTTTATTATGGAAATCATCATTTTCGTCTATTTTCTCAATTAAAAGATATAAAGTGACGAATATGCGCTCATATTTAAATAACACAAAAATAAAGAAAAGAATCTTTTTAATTATTTATTTGAAATTTATTTGTACATTTTGTGAAAAATTTGGGAGTATAATTGTAATTTGTTCTTTATTTTTTATTTAAATAGAAGGATATATTTGTCATTTTGCAGCTTTTAATTGAGAAAATAGATGAAAATGATGATTTTCGCAACGTAATGTGAAAATAAAGGTGAATATGCCAAAAAGTGAAAGATAGGGACGTTTTGCACAATAATCTGGAAAGGTATGAACTTTTTGTGCTTAATAATTTATTTGGACTCATTTGAAATTTTTAAATTCTTTTTTTTTTTTTTTAAATATGAGGGCATATTTGTCATTTAACATTTTTTTATACAGAAAATGACATTTTCCACAATAAAAAGTGAAAATTGGAGTGAAAATGCTAAAAATGAAAGGAATGACGTTTTGCACAATTACATTGAAATGTATGGATATTTTGTGCTAATTACCCCTAAAAAATGTATATAGAAAATCATATTATCCTTCATTCTTATGTACAATGTATCTACACTCAAAAGGAGACTTAACCAAACTGTCTATATCAACTAGCACCCAGCAAACTAACTAAATACCTCCCTCCCTCTCGTATCAATAACTCTGTCATCAATTCTAATAACACTCACCATGTTAACACACAAAATTCTTCCAGAGGAAAACTCGGAGGGCAAGAACAAGGACTTTACATATAACTTCAAAGGCTAAGGCTTTGGACTACAAACTTATGTCACTCTTTCACCAATGGTCAGTTAAAGTACACGAATCCAAAATGGATCTGCTTTTGTAGGTTTTGGCTTAAGTAACACTAAATGCACAGAATTTCCGTGTAACAATGCAGAGCTAAGTGTAAGGAAAATTGTACAAAATATAAAAAACGTGAGATAATCTATGTTTAAAAAAAAAACAACAAATATTAATATCTCATCTATTTCCTCAATTTTCCATTTTATTTAATCTCAAAGAATAACCATGTTTGTGTTGCATGGTTCAAGCTCAAGATTCATGGTGGTCAACCTTCTATATATGCAATTACTGGTAGATCTTTACTTTGAAACTAATTATTGGGAGATCACCTAAACCTTAAGGGCTTGCTTGGGAGTTTTTTCTTCACCGTTTTGACCTTTTTGAGTTGCACTGTTTATGAAAGGTTGGGAAAACCGATGCATTTTAGTTTTTTTAGCACTAGTTTTGGATGGTTTCTAATTTTGGGTGGTATAAAAAATCACCCAAAATTGGTGAAGTATAATTTTAACCGTATCTCTCAACCCATCAAATCAGTGGGATTTTAAAAGTTTCTCAAATTCTCTTCAAATTTTACCCTTTATAAAATAATTATCTCGACCTATATGTTTTGTTCAAAACTAACTTGTAAGTTAAGATACAATAGCTAGTGGGCCTCAGCGGGCATTTTTCATTCTTCACCAATACTAATAATAGCACAAAAATTCACTTATAAAATATAAAATTTTAGTTATAAGTAAAGAATCACTTATGTGTAAAAATTATTTAAAAGTACAAAATTAATTTATAACTGTAAAATTTACTTTAAAAAATTCATACAAGAAATTATAAATGGAAAATTTCACTAAGAGGCACGTGTATTTCACTAAGAGGCACGTGTAATTTTATTCTTTTAAAAAAATTTCAAAATCTTAGATAATAAACTCACAAGCATGGATTGGACTGTTTTAAAAATTGCAACGAAAAACCACCCAAAACTGGTACTTTAAAAAACCCATAACTGGTATCCCAAAACTCCCAAGCAGGTCCTAAGGGAAATGTTCAACACGAGCAGAAGGGAAAAAAATTTAAGCAGTGGACCGCTTTTGAAGAATATGCTATTGCCAAATATAGAAAACAGAAAACAAAAAAGAAAAGCAAGAATTATTCGGAAATTATGAAATGAAACAAGAGAGCTATTTGTACCATAAACAAAGACCATCAGCATCAGAGAGCAGTGCAGCTAGTCGATCCAATTCAGGAAGCTTCCATCCGATTCTCTGCAAAAAACAAACAGAAGATCAGACATACTGTGACTCCACAAGAATACTGCAGGAACTTATAGAAAAGGATACAAACCAGAAGACCAGATCCCTTGAGAGGAAGTTTTGGATTCTCCACGAAATTGCAGTACAAGCAAATAAATAAGGTCGTGTCACTAGCATCTCCCAACGGCAGTTTTGTGCAATGCAAGTGGAAGCTGCGCAATAAAAGAAACATTAGGCAGACAATGATCACATCATCAGTAATACAATAATTATTTCAGAAGTTGTATCTACTAATCAGAATTAGCCTCTTTGGTCTCCCAAAAAAGGAAAAATGAGACTAATGAGACCACATCCACCATAATGGTGCAAGTCTACTAGATATGAAATGCCACAGGGAGCCACTTCCATTATTCAGAAAAGTTGAACCAAGCAACTATGGACCTAGAAACCTCACCAGTCCTTGCAAATAGAACAAGTCAAAAGCTCTTGATCATTGATATCACTGCAGCAGCATATGCATAAAGTTCCTGCTTCGCTATTCTTAGATTTTTTGAACACGCCAAATGATCTATCAAGAGTTTTCTCTATCTGCACAAAGTTTAAAAGCTTCATTAAGAACGATATTGAAACTATAACTAGCAAGCAGATTTTCATCAAACAAGTAAAAGAAATTGATATACACAAACCTCTAGCAGAGTACTGATCGGCGCATTCCCATTTCCAGTTGAAGGCTTAATTATGTCCTCAAAGCATCGTTTCCACTGTAGAATTTTTTCAACTTCAGAGTATACCTTCTCCAGTTCTACACAACTGAAGGCCTCAGCAGTTCCATGTTCCTGAATGTTTGAATTGGCAGTTCAAAAATAAGTCAACAAAAAATGGTGATGTCAAAATACAAAAGAACACAAATGTTTCTAATTTTTCTCCTAAATAGATATACTACTTGCTGCACAAAACATTGTATGGATGGAATAGAACATGCTACCACGTCATCCATCTGATCTAACTCACTCTCACTCCCCACAACCAAGGAATTTAAAGGAAAGAAAGAAAAAAAGAAATAACACTACTAGTCTTTTCCAAAAAGAAAACATCTTTATTGGAATGCCCAACTACTTGTACAGAGAGAAGTAAGGCAGCAAGATGCAAAATCTTTTATGGAGCTTTCACCTACACTACAATTGCAACAGAAACCTCTTATTAAGCGCAGCACCAGCTGGTTTAGTGTGTGTACTGTGTAAGGAACCAACTAGGTAGCTGGATTGGGAGCATTTTGTAGGAATCCCGAATCAATCATGGGATTATTGTATTTTATGTTTATGGTATAATTATCTTTAAGTTAGGAATAGAAGATTATTTTCCTTTTTTTTCTACCATGTATGGTGTATATATTGAGGCTAGTTGTATTGAAATTATATTGAGAAATAAAGAATAAAATTTCTCTCTCACTTTGTCCATATGGTATCAGAGCATGGGAGAAACTAAACCCAACAATCAATGGCTGAAAACGCAGCCCACAGTAAGGAATCAGTTTTCTCCGAATTAGAAACCAGCAAGGTCGACCCTGTCACCACCATGAATTCAATTGGAATTGATAGTTCCTCCTTCCAACTCACCGTGGAAAAATTCAATGGTACAAACTACAGGGAATGGGCTCAATCCATCAAATTGGTGGTCAATGGGAAAGGAAAAATTAGTTATTGTAGAAAACATCCAAATATGGAAACAATATTGGGGATCGGAATTGTGATTTTGTATTTTAGGATAATTGGTTTATTATTTTCTTTCCTTATTAGGCAAATTATTTTTCCTTCTTTCCTTTCAATTGATGTACTATAAATTGTTTGTATTACTGCTGAAATAATTAATATACCCAAAAAATTCCTTCCAACAATTGTCTTCATGGTATCAGAGCCTCAGTTTCTCTAACCTAGCATCTCAATGGTGGAATTCCCCGCCAACAGCAAGGAGTCGACAACCCCTGCAATGTCTGACTTCGAAGCAGAGACCGCCCCCTCAATTGGTAATGGGATGGAGACTTCTTCCTTCCATCTAATGGTAGAAAAATTGAATGGAAGGAATTATCGAGAATGATCCCAATCTATAAAATTAGTAATTGACGGCAAAGGGAAATTGGATTACCTTACCCGTGAGACCAAGAAACCAACTGAGAGTGTCATACTACAGAAGTGGAAGTCGAAAAATTCCATGGTAATTGCCTCGTTGGTGAATTCCATGAAACCGGCAATCGGAAAGACGTACCTATTTCTCCCAACTACAAAAGATGTTTGGGATGCAGTGAGAGATACCTACTCCGATTCGGAAGATATTTCACATATTTTCGAGATTAAAACTCGATTGTAGCAGACCCGGCAAGGCTCGAGAGATGTAACGGACTACTATATGGAAATGGTTGCTTTTTGGCAAGAATTAGACCTCAGTGGAGAGGAGGAGTGGAAGTGTGGAGATGATTGCATCTTGTACAAGAAGATGCAGGAGAGTCTATGAATTACTTGCAGGGCTAAATCGTGAGCTAGATGATGTTTGAGGCCGAATATTGGGTCGGCAATCACTACCTCCCACTCGCGAGGTGTTCCTTGAGGTCTGACGTTAAGAGGCGCACCGGCAAGTGATGATGAAGGAAAGCTCCGGGGACGCGTCTACCTTAGCCACAAGCAAATCTCAGAATTTGAAAAATAATGGACAGATAAACTGGGTACTAGGGACTGGGTCTTCCAAAATAAATGGGCTTGCTGGATTGGGCCTATTAAATTACATGGGCAGATTTGGGTCAGATAATAACACTGGTGGAGGATTTAGGCTAGCTGGACTTGGAGGTGGAGGATTTGGGCCAGCTGGACTTGGAGGTGGAAATTTGGCCTATCATCAAAAGGAAGTATTGATGGATCCAACCCAAAATTGCGAGGACGACCTTGGTGTGAGCATTGTCGTAGGTAGGGACATAAAGAAGACAACACATGTTGGGAAATTCATGGAAAACCCACTGATTAGAAACCCAAAAATATACTAGGAGCCGAGGGTATCAAACCGAAACAGAAAATAATCGAACTTCTGGTGGTGCTTTCAATTTAGAACAATTAGAGCAACTTTACTAAGTGTCCTCAAGCCTTCAAACACCTTGTCAACAGTCCCCTCAAGGTCCTTCTAGCTCTCTTGCTCACAAAGGTAACTTTCTTAGAGCCTTAAGCACCTCACGATCAAAAACTGTTTGGATTATTTATTCCGGTGCGTCCGATCACATGACGGACTCATATCACATAATCTCTTACACTACCTGTGCGGGAAACATTAAAGTAAAAATTACAGATGGCTCACTCTCATCTTTTGCAAGAAAATAGAGTATTCAAATCTCTGAGTCCATAAGACTGAATTTTGTACTTCATGTCCCAAATTTGGCCTGTAATTTGTTATCTGTTAGTCGGTTGACAAAAAATTCTAATTGCTCTCCTAAATTCTTTCCATCTTACTGTATCTTTCAGGATCTTTCATCGAGGAAGACGTTTGGCAGTGCTAAGCAGTTTGAGGGACTATACTACTTTTGAGGCAGCTAATATGAGTAAACCAAGTCATATATTAGACTGTAATTCTGCATCTACCTCTAGAGATAGTGAACCTTTGTTATGGCACAACAGATTGGAACACCCTAGCTTGAAATACTTGAAAAATGTACTCCCTTCCATTTTCAATAATAAAACTTCTGTTGAGATTCAATGCGAAAGTTGTGAGTGCACAAAACATAAGCGCACATCCTTTCTAGCTTCCACATACAAACCATCTAAACCTTTTGCCATGATTCATAGTGATTTATGGGTCCTTCCCGCTACCCTAATCAGACCCAAAAGAATTGGTTTGTCACATTTATAGAAGACCACACTCAAGTATGCTGGGTTTACCTCCTAAAAGAAAAAATGGATGTTCGTTCCGTGTTCATCAATTTTCACCCTATGATTCAAACTCAATTTCAAACGCCACTCCAAATTCTGTGCATTGACAATGGCACAAAATACTTTAATACTGCATTACACGACTATCTAAAAAAAATAGGATAGTTCACCAAAGTTCATGCGCCAACAATCCCCGACAGAATGGGGTTTCTGAGCGAAAAAATAGGCACCTACTCGAAGTTGCCCGTGCTTTAATATTCACTACATACATGCCAAAGACATTTTGGGAGGATGCCATTTTAACTTCTGCATATCTCATCAATTGAATGCCTAGCCAAACTATCTCTTTCGACTCACCCATACATAGACTCCAACAGTACTTCCCGACCACCCACCTCAATTCCAACCTACCTTTCAAAGTATTTGGTAGCACTACATTTGTACATATTCACTCTTATCTTCAAAATAAACATGAACCACGCGCAATCAAATGTGCGTTTCTTGGATACTCACCTACACAAAAAGTAGGGCTGGGCAAATTTCCGGAATCGACCGAACCGAACCCGAGGATTCTTGTCAAATTAAATACCCAAACGGGTATCTGAATTGAGAACCGACGAGTACGGTTCGATTCTCGATTCTAGACCAAGAACCGAAGAGCCGAATAAGAACCGAATCTTTCTAATTTTTTTTTTATATTGAGTAAATCAAATTATTTTAATTTTAATTTTTTTTAAACAAATTAACAAATTAATGATTTCTAAATCCAAATTTTTGGCCCAATAATTTATTTCATTTCTAATTTTTTAATTTTTGACCCAATTACCCATTTTATTGTTTCATTTCTTTGCCAAACAAGATCAAATCCACTAAATAACCCTAAACACCTACACTAAAGTGCAAAACGTTGTCTCGACTCTCGCACTCACTCTCGCAGCCTCGCTAATATTCCAAAACCTATACAATTGTCGGCCGACACTCTGACCTTCGATCGAAGCTGTGACTTCCGCCGACCGAAGATTTGATCGTAACGATCATTTGAACAAGGTAGTTTACTAGTCTCTGACATTCCAAAACCATTGAATGCATCATTAGTCGTATTTATATAACGTTGTTATAAATGTTAAAAAATTTAATTATATTACAGAACCGAAACGAACCCGAACGGTTCCATAATTATATTTGGACCCGACGGTTCCATTTACTAGACACCCGAAAAGTTTGGTTCGGTTCGGTTCTAAAGAGAATCGAACCGAACCGACTCGCGCCCACCCCTAACAAAAAGATTACAAGTGTTATGACCCATCCAACAAAAAAATCTACATCAGCCTCGATGTCACCTTTTTCGAGAACACCCCCTACAACAAAAACCCTCATCTCCAGGGAGAGAATATGAGTGAAGATCGGTTATCAAATCTAGAATTCTTAGAAATTGATCTTTCCCCATTTGAACTAACACATACAAGACTTATCAATCTACCTTCTAATGTGCCATATACAAGAGGAAACTTGAATTCAGGGGGAGATGATGGAAAACGTAGTGACAAATAGTTATTGGTTTACTCAAGAAAGCCAAAATCAAGGTACAAGGAAACTCTTACACTTGAGATACCAAGAGAGTCAAAACCGGTGATGGGACCTGATGAGAACTCGTCCAATGAATCTTTGGATCTGGATTTACCTATTGCTATCAAAAAACAAATTCAGTCATGTACTCTCCACCCTATTTCAAAATTCACTTCTTATAATGTCTTTCTACAAAGTTTCGTACTTTCACAACTAACCTTGATAAAACAGATATACTGTTAAATATTCAAGAGGCCTTGGGATCAATTAAATGGAGAGAAGCGGTAATGGAAGAAATGAATGCTTTGAGAAAAGATGAGACTTGGAAAGTGGTAAACTTAACGAAGGGAAAGAGTCCCGTAGGGTGCAAATGGGTCTTCAATGTAAGCAGATGGGAGAATAGGATGCTATAAGACACGTTTGGTTGCCAAACGATACACTCAAACCTACGGCATCGACTACACTGAAACATTCACACCGATGAAAAACTTAATACAGTACGAGTTCTCTTATCATTGGCAATAAATCCAAACTGGCCGCTTCAATAGCTAGATATTAAGATTGCTTTTTTTTAATGGGGAATTAGAAGAAGTTTACATGACAACACCACCAGGAAAATCAAATGTGTAAATTGAAAATTTTTTTATATAGACTTGAGCAATCACCGAAAGCGTGGTTCGATAGATTTGCAAAGGTACTAAAGAGGCAACGATATCAATAAGGACAGTCAGATCACACCATCCTCTTCCAACATTTCAGAGATGAGACAAAAACTATCCTAATTGCGTGCTTAGATGATATAATCCTAACAGAGGATAACATAGCTGAAATGGAAAGTCTAAGAAGTGTTTAGCTGCTGAATTTGAGGTAAAAAAATCTAGGACAAATGCGATATTTTTTAGGGATGGAGGTTGCAAGATATATATATATAAAAAGAAAAGGTGTCGGCGTTTCCAAAAAGGAAATACATTCTCGACCTGTTGATCGAAACTAGCATGCTGGGATGCAAACCAAGCGACACACCTATTGAGGTAGAAGAATTGCCAAAGGACACAGGGAACTCAGTGAAAATAGGCAAATATTAAAGACTAGTCGCACCCTCAACTTCGAAACTCCCCTTCTAAATTTCCAGACCTTCCCTAACTCTCGCCTCAACTCCTAACTTACCCTAAGAGTGTTTGGATGTATAGCTTTTGTACAAACACTCTCAGCATCGAAATAAACTCGAACCTCTTGCAGTTAAGTGTGTATTTATTGGCTATTCACCTACACAAAAAAGGTATAAATGCTAGTCCTATCACCAAAAGATTATTTGTGAGTCTTGATATCACTTTCTTCAAAAATCATCCATACTTCCAAAAATCCTCTCTTCAGGGTGACAACATAAGTGAAGATCGATTTTTGGAAATCTCTCTTAATCCCTCTGAATCCATCACCGAACATGCAACACCATCCTTTGAATCCATCACTAAGCATACACCACCACTTTATCCCAACATGCCATCGATAGAAGGAAACTTAAACTCAGGAGGAGAACAGAAAGAAAGTATGGTAAAGAAACAATAGTTTACTCAAGAAGGCAAAAGCCAAAGTATGACCTCACACTCAAAGCACCAAGAGAGTCAAAACCAGTGATGGCTCCAGTACTTTATGAGCTTCCTCCAAAATCATCTGATACTGATCTATCTATTGCTCTCAAAATACAAACACGGTCATAAACCCTCCATCCTATCTCAAAGTATGTCTCTTATAAAGATATGTCTCTAGTTTTTCAGTCTTTTATTGTTGACCTTGACGGTAAAAAAATTTCAAAAAATATCCAAGAAGCCTTGGAAATTCCCAAGTGGAGAAACAGTAACAGAAGAAATGAAAGCCTTGGAAACAAATGAAACTTGTGATGTGATGGAACTATCGAAAGGAAAGAAGCCTGTCAAGTGCAAATGGATGTTCATTGTAAAATATAAAGCAGTCTAGACAATAGAAAGGTACAAAACTCGCCTAGTCGCAAAGGGATATACTCAAACGTATTGTATAGATTACACAGAAACTTTTGCACCGGTTGCAAAACTGAATACAATTCATGCCCTTCTATCACCAAAAGCAAACTTGAATTGGCCACCCCAGCAACTTGACATTAAGAATGCATTCCTGAATGGGCAATTGAATGAAGAAGTCTATATGATGCTACCACCAGGATTCTCTAAAAAAGGTGAAGAAAACAAAGCATGCAAACTGAAAAAATCTCTGTACGGTCTCAAACAATCACTTAGAGCATGGTTTGAAACCCTCCATCCTATCTCAAAGTATGTCTCTTATAAAGATATGTCTCTAGTTTTTCAGTCTTTTATTGTTGACCTTGACGGTAAAAAAATTTCAAAAAATATCCAAGAAGCCTTGGAAATTCCCAAGTGGAGGAACAGTAACAGAAGAAATGAAAGCCTTGGAAACAAATGAAACTTGTGATGTGATGGAACTATCGAAAGGAAAGAAGCCTGTCAAGTGCAAATGGATGTTCATTGTAAAATATAAAGCAGTCTAGACAATAGAAAGGTACAAAACTCGCCTAGTCGCAAAGGGATATACTCAAACGTATTGTATAGATTACACAGAAACTTTTGCACCGGTTGCAAAACTGAATACAATTCATGCCCTTCTATCACCAAAAGCAAACTTGAATTGGCCACCCCAGCAACTTGACATTAAGAATGCATTCCTGAATGGGCAATTGAATGAAGAAGTCTATATGATGCTACCACCAGGATTCTCTAAGAAAGGTGAAGAAAACAAAGCATGCAAACTGAAAAAATCTCTGTACGGTCTCAAACAATCACCTAGAGCAGGGTTTGCAAATTTGCAAAAGTGTTGAAAAATCATAAATACCAACAAGAACAATCAAATCACACTATGTTTTTCAAAATATTTGAAGATGGGACAAAGGCCATTCTCATCGTATATGTTAATGACAATCATCACCGGGGATAATACAGTTGAGATAGAGAGACTAAAAGGCATTCTAACCACAGAATTTGAAGTAAAAGACCTAAGGCAGATGAGATACTTCTTGGGGATGGAAGTAGCTAGATCAAAGAAGGGTATTAGTGTCTCACAACAAAAATATGTCCTAGATCTCTTGACTGAAATAGGTATGCTTGGGTATAAACCAAGTGACCCCCTATAGATTCTGAAAAAAGGACAAACAATATAGGATAATTGGTTGATAAAGACATATACCTGCGACTGTTTGGAAAGCTAATTTACCTTCATACACTAGACCTGACATTGCATTCGTGGTTAATGTGACAAGCCAACACATGCATTCTTCAAAGGAAGCTCACCTAGAAGCAGTATGCAATATTCTAAGATATCTCAAAGTTCTTTGAGAAAATGACTGTTGTTCAAGAAAAAAAATAAAAATAAATAAATAAATAAAAAAAGAGACAAATATTCTCTGATGGTGATTGGCAGGAGCAACAGAAGATAGAAGATCAACCACTGGTTATTGTACTTTTGTATAGGGAAACTTGGTGACCTAGAGAGGTAAAAAACAAAATGTAGTAGCCAGAAGTAGCGCGGAAGCAAAATTCAGAGCGGCTGCTTAAGGAATGTGTGAAGGCTTCTGGTTAAAAAAAAACTCTGGGAAAAACTACAAGTCACAATCTCAATTAAGCTTTACTGTGATAACAAAGCAGCTATCAATATTTCATTCAACCCAGTCCAACATGACAGAACCAAACATGTTGAAAAAAAAAGTTGAAAATGGGATCATTTGCATGATCTACGTCCCTACCAAAGAACAAACAACAAATGTGTTCACTAAGGGACTACACAAACAAACTTCCGATGATTTCATCTACAAGTTGATATGATCAATATCTACGATCCAAGTAAATGAGGAGTGTAGGAATCCCGAATCAATCATGAGATTATTGTATTTTATGTTTATGGTATAATTACTTTAAGTTAGGGAAGATTTTTTCTTCTTTAGTTAGAATATTATTTTCCTTTTTTCTACCATGTCTGGTGTATATATTGAGGCAAGTTGTATTGGAATTATATTGAGAAATAGAGAATAAAATTTCTCTCTCACTTTGTCCATACATTTTTAGATAGAGCAAGCATTCTAGTCTCCACTTAAGAATACAAAACCTACATTTATTAACTAAATTATAATCCAAAGAGAAGCTATAATGGGTCAAAAATTATGTGCCCTTAGTTAATCTAATTTTACCTTTCAAAACAAGAGGGTCAAAAGTTAAAATCATTCATGCCATTATAAAAATAGAAATCAACAAAAAGGGGGATTCACAAGAGAATGCACACAATAATCAAAGAAAAGCAAGATAGTATAACGACCAAATATGTTATGCCAACAGTAAGGGTGAGCAGCCCAAGAGTTAAACACCCTAGGATTCCTACCCTCCCCTTCAAAACTCTTTCCGAAATTTTTCGTTTCATCTTGCCTTCTGAGTACAAGGGCCAATACTTTAGAGGGTCTCAAAAAAATTCATCAATGTGGCATTTAAAGGCACTCATGGCCCAAGTTGCCAGGATTTCCAATCTGGTTAGCCAGAACAAAATTGCAACTTCTGGTGAATTTGCAACTTCCAGGTATAAATCTTAATATGGTCCCATGTTTTTTTTTCAAGATTGCCTTTCAATAATGCCAAATTTGCCCCTAATCTCTAAAATCCTAAAAACATTCACATATTTTCTTAACTTCTACATATGTTCTTTTCAAAATACCAAATTTTGTATTAGTTTAGAAATCCAAAGAAACCTTCAACCCCACTGCACATTTCATCTTTGCGTGGCACAATCAGCAATCCAAGCACACTGCAAACCAAATTGATGTGCGTTCAAGGTAACTTCTACCCAATGTACAGTATGAGGAACATCTTATCGGCTGAGAACTACATCCAAAAAGAGATTAACGCCTCACCCGAATGCTTTGATCCAATTTACAAAGGATCTCCCCAAGGAGAGCACCATAGTGAATGCCAAACAATTTTAAAAGGATGCTACAGTCACAACCAAATAAAAGATTTAATCAGCTTACCTTCAGCTGCAACAATATATTCCATGATCGGTCTTCAGATCCAAGTCCAAAAAATAGATGCACTTGCTCCAGCCACAAACTATAAACACATTGCAAATGTATCACAGAACCATAATTCAAAGACGCAGAGAGAGAAGACAGTAATCTCTCCTGAAATAGCAACTTAAAGATACTAATGAAATACAAATGCATAAGATGAAATTCCAGACTTGACAATCTCTCTTTTTGTTCAACCAGGAATACTAGCCTTGAGGATAATATCCATAAGGCAGATAACAGACTGAATCACAATATAGCCAACTTTTGGGAAACGAACTTAAACCAAAATTTGTATGCATCAAATTGATAAATCTTAATATTTATCATGATAAACTGCTAATCCACACTTTTCTTTTGTACCGAGTAGAATTGGGGAAGGAAAGATTAGGCTTCGTGAACTACCAAATATTGCACTAGTTACAAAAGATAAAAGAACATAAACAAGACGGGCAGTACATGTTAGTTGATCTCAACATAGTAATCCCTGCCAATGTAATTACTCCTGTTTTATGTTTAAATAGAAAAATTGTGCTACTTATTCCACTTTCTTATCCTTATCAAGAACAACCTAAGGTCAAAGCACTTATTTATGTGGAAACAAGTGCATCTGCCTAGCGCCAATGGCTGGTATAAACAGTCATCTAAAGCCATGGCACCACTGGCTGGCATAAACAGTCATCTAAAGCCATGGAAGCTACTTTCTTTCACTCAAAACCAGATGAATAATTCAACTATGAAGGATAAAAATATCTAAAGTGGGACCAAAATGCTGCAATTAGAAGAGACGACTCACTTATGTTTGTGAATAGAATTCTGAAGTTGATCAACAATAATCGGGAATGGAACACAGATTTTCTGCAATTTCAAGATGTTATATGTATCATGTATGTTTCCAAAGACCCACAGACGATTAAGCAAAGAGTACGAGTAGATATATATTTTCTGGATTCTAAAGGTTTGTAGACCAAAAGCAATCTAATAACGTTAGATACCTCGTATAGAAGAACTACTTCTTCAGCACTGATCAGCTCAAATTGTCCACAATTATGAGGAGCAAGAACTTGAAGGGCCTTCCAAAGCCAACGTATTCCACCTATCAACTTGCCCCATAAAGCACAGGACTTGAAGGTTGCAGGAAGTTTTGGAGCATCCTCTAATGTCATCTCAACTTCCTAAAACCATAACAAATGATATGATACATGATCCTCCAATTATGGGAAGAAAAGTCATAAACCAAATTCAAAAAGTAGCACGTCCAATTAGTCCAATAAAATCAATCAGGAGAAACGGTAAGCACTAATTACAAAAATTATTACATTTCATAATGAAAGGAGTCAAAAAGTTATGCTGAAATAACCAAATTAATTTGTCTTGAATCACGAAGAGAAGACCATAAATATGATGCAAAAGAACAAATGATCGCCTTTGAATGGATTAGAAGTAATAAAACTTCATATTCAACAATTCACTGTTCATGTGAAGGCTGTATAAAATTACAACCACAGACTTTCCCCGTCTTGTCCATTCGCTCAAGGGCTATTCTTGCACTGTTAGCTTACGTACATGTCCACTAGGGGTTAGGCCCCAACGTGGATTTATTTTGATTCCCTAGCAATTCAAGTTAAGTATACGTAAGCGAACAGTACACGTAATTGCCCCTGCTCAAATGGGAAAGATGTAGAAAGTTCGTGGTCATTATAAAAAAACGAGCATTTTGTTGAGCATTCAGGATTGAAAAGAAAGTCAAACCCAGACATTTTACACATTCTAATAAAGGCAATAGAGAACCAACTAGTTCAGTAACCTACAGATTTCCTGGAAGGACTTGAAACCAAAACTAACAGTCCCTGGACATCAAAACCATACCTTACTTTCATAAACCCACAAAAAAAAAAAAAGGCTGCTTCTTGGTATGCGTATAGTAAGGACAAGATGAAAAATTATGTTTTTAAGATGAAGACAGTCAAATAAATTTGAACAAGTTTCAGCAAATTCATGTTAAAAAATGTGCCTCTTTAAGAGCCAACAACAATTTCAATCATCCTCACATATAAAAGCCTCGTCTTCTTCACATTATTAGCAGACTAAATTCAAGAAAATGCACTTCGGTGTGCCAATTTATGAAGCCGACCTATCTAAAAAGAACATTAGGTCCGTCACCGTCAAACAGAGTACAAAAATTTCTTCTAAAAGAACTATAAAAATAAATGTAGAAACGAATTTCAAGGTCTGGGACATTACAAAGGACAGATTAACAACGTACACATATTTCCAAAAGAGGAAATTGTACCTTTGAAGTAAAGTAGGAACCAAAAAATCAGCAATTTCTTTAAAAAGAAAATAAAAAGAGACTAATATTGAGAAAACCAAGGAGAAAATTGGCAATTTTGCTTTTACTGCTTACTTAGACTTTCTTTGCCTCTTGTTTATAATCAATCAGACCACTTTTTATCTACAAATTTCATAGAATGCACAAGTACTACCCACTTATCCACCACTCACTTCTATCCATTTATAACTTAGAACGGATTATAAACAACTTTCAAACATGCTTTTAATGTAGCGAACAAATATGCTGGAAGTAAAAGACACTTCAACACAAGTCTCATTAGATAAACAAGAGCTCCATACACCAAGATAATAGGGAGATAAGAAAGAAAGATCATGTTAAATTTATCAATGCATATTCATAATTTTGTAAACAAGACTAATATTCACCTCACAGGTAGGAACAACAGCAGAGAATGAGAGGGTCTTGATGCACCACTGCAGAGTGAAACGAGCATCTTGAAGTTTTGGGATCATGTTGAGCTCAAGACCAAAAGAAAAACCAGCTTCCATGGTGGGCTTTAGTGAAAGAAGACATTTTTGAAATCTGGGAATAAGACAGCTGGTATTCCCATCACCAATACTATCAATCTTCCACAAATTCTCTGCATCCTGCAGTAAAGAGCTGGCATCTTGCTCCCACTCAATGCACTTCTTTAAAACTTCTTCAGCAACTGAACATTCATCCAAATATACCTTCAGCAACTTTGACTCAGCCACCAAATTCTGCAGTATTCCAAAAATTGTCATGCCACGTTCTTTAATCTTACAAATAAATCATCAACAGAACCATGACAACCTTTAAGGCCTCAACTTTGAGGAGAGAATTTGAGGCTGATATGATGGGTAAATCATGAGACAGAAATGGCTTCAACTTGTCTAACCAAGCCTTGGCCGTTGACACTGCATCCTTGACATGGATAAGAGAAGGTAGAATAATACATATATCCTCAGAAACCCTACAAATGATTCAGATATCAGAATCAGAGCATCAGCACAATACTCAAGTTAAGGTAAGAAAAATACGGATTCAAAACCTTAAAATATCCTCGAATTCAGACATCTGTGCTTTACTAGCAAGAGCATGCTTTGCTTTCTCTTCCCACTGCAAGGCAACTGCATGTCTTCTAGATATATCAACAAATAGCTTCTCCTTTTCAATCTGTAGTCTATGTGGCATGCAAAGTTTGAAACTTAATAGTAATGTATTGCATTTTTACAAGATATAAATAGTAAAATGTAAAACAAATGAAAGAGATCATACGCGTTTGCCTCCATTATCAGTTGCTGGATGAAGTCCATTGACATTCCACAGTCAAGTGCCTGCAATAATAATTCATTTTTAACTATATGCCTGCATAACATATATCAAAATAATATATGCAGAGCCTTCCATCCTATATTAAGTTCAATTTGTTCCATCAAGATTTCCCAACTAATTTATCCTTGAAAAAATGTTTATTTCCGAATCATCCTTCTGTTCCATGTTAAAAACAGAACTCATGAAGTCAAGTCCCATCAGATTTAAATTCAAACTGAAGGTTTATAAAAGACACCATAGAAATCAAAGTTTGTCATTTCTTTAAACATTCCCTCATGAAACATGGCATGCAACACAGACATATTGAGTGTACAGAATGCGAATTACAAATCACAGCATACAAGTGAATGTAGCAGTTGGTTTACTAATATTTGAAGCAATAGCAAATCAAAAATTAAAGGCCCAACAAAAGGTACAACATAACAATCATTGGAACAAGTTCATGTCCAAAAGCAATATTCTGCATTTAGTTACCTTTAAAGCTTTAACCCGGCAACAAGCTTTCTTAAGCTCAATCTCAACGCAAGGCAACTCATCAGCTACATTTAAATTGGAAAGGACAAACAGATGACACCACTAGATAAAATGAAATAAAATTCTATAATGCAACAAGACTAAGTTGAAAAAACCTTTATAATAAGAAAAGAACAAAGAGAATAGGTATGCTTACCCTGAATTTTCATTGATAAACCATCCCTATGAATTTGGGTTAACTCATCAACGACATTTTCTTGATCCTCTCTTTCATGAACATTCACAAGAACATGATTAACACGGGATACCCATGATATGGCATCACTATAGTATTGTTTTAGAAGGTTTAGCTCTTGAATATTAACAGTAAAACCATCCCATTCTTTGAGAAACAGTTCAACATTCTGCACAAAAAAATAAAAATAAAAATATATGTAGTTCTTAAAGTAAGTTTCATTTACAATGTCCTTAATTGAAAGATATTTATATCTGCTACACACAACCTTTAGGCTGATGGAATCTTTCAACATCTCATTGCATTGAGACCAGCAAGATTTAGCTTGCCTTGTCAAATCAGAAAGCAATCCAGCCTCAGGAAGCTGAAGTTTTAGTTCTAAAATCTGGAAAATATAACCAAGAAAGAGTTAAATTGAATTTTCTAACAGAAAAATACAATAACAAGAGCAGTTGTGTGGGTGTGGGTGTGAGTGAGAGACAGAGAATCAATTGATCAGACAGAAAAAGATTATGTGACATCATAAGGTTATGCTAAATGGATGGCATATGTCTTTGAAACTTCAGGAGAAAGAAGGTTTTAAATTACCTCAGCCTCCAGCTTGTAAATTAAATCTACCTCAACTGCACCAGGAGATTTCTCGGAGATGCAATTTCTTACACTATCCACCCAAACCTGTACAACCTCAGCGGTAGCAAAAAAATAGGACATGCATCAGAAAGCCAAAAGGAGAAGAAACAGAATGCGCTCACTAAAATGCAGAAGGAAGAAAACACTCCATTTTCATATCTAAAAAATTTTGAAGATGCATCCATAAAATGGGTATTGGTAAGTGTAATTTTCTTTTAAAATTATTCTAGTAATTTACTTATACAATGGTTAGTTTAGTCTTCATTTCTCTATTGAGTTCTCTGTGGTGGACTTGAGCTTTTACAAAGAACGAGAAGTCGAGGATTAAAATATGGAAGCACAAGGTAATTTGAAGCTTGGATGTAGGTGCGAGATGTTGGAGGATCGAAATGGGGAGAAAGATGAGCCTTGAAAAAAAGATTCGGTACAAAAAAGGAGACCAAGAATCTGATGGATGTCAAACTTTTGGAGGCCACCAGGAAGAACCCAAATATTAAGGCACCTTCCGACCTCATTCTGGCGGCTGCAAGAATTTTGGCAGCCTCCAAAATGGCCATGCTAGAACTTTTTCAAAATAATGGCAATTTCAGTATTTGTCTTGCCCAAGAATGTCAAGGGCATTAAATGGCACATTTTTCGAGGGCTGCAAAGGAAAAAGTACAAAAACAACTTTTTGGAGAATTGGAGGGAGAAATTCGTGAAAATTTATTGGTGGCTCAAAAGTCATGATGCACCAACACAGACACAAGTGTTGACATGACATGAGTCCAACACCATGACACATGATTTTTATTAAAAAGTAGTACACAACACGTCGAGGACATATTGAATTTAACAATATCAACTGTTTAATTTTAATGGCTTTTTATTTATTTTTAATTATTGTTTCATATATTTCCCTCAACGCGCCACAGCCACTACTTTGACTTCTTTTATGCAATTATGAACTCCACGGAAACTTCTCTTTGGTCATTCCTAGCTTACTTTTGGAATTGGAGACTCGGACTAAAACTTCTCCATAAGACTAGGAACCAAAAACCAGATGGCGAGGAATTAGACCAAGGGGAATTTTATTATTTTATAATGTAAATATAAGTAATGACTTATCAAATTTGCATGGGTAGTTGTGGGCTCCATTTTTCATTTGGAACACATTCGTAATTGTTTATTCTAACTTCTAAGGTAGTGGATCTCATAAAAATTGAGAACCGCCTTTTAGCACTTTTACCATACTATTTGAACTTAGTGATGGGCCCTCCATTCGAATGAAGACACACAATTGCACAATATCCAGGGTTTGGTCATTCATTACAATTGCTACTGGAAGAAGATGAAGTACATAGCAGAGGTCTCCACTCCAACGATACTCCAACTCACACCGACGACATTTAAACGACAGATTGACACCGCCGACTAGCAAAAAAGGAGTTTTTTTTTTACTTTCCCTTTAGTTCTCCTCCATTTTCTTCTTTTTGGTCATGTTTGAACACTCCAACCTGTCAAAAATATCGTTCATGTGCATAGGTAAAGTGTCTAAGACGTGCTTAACACTTAAAAAAGAGAGAAAAAATGGACACACCACGTGACATCTCCGACTTGTCAATGTGAGAAACGTGTCAATGCATCATAGCTCAAAAGGAGGGAGAACAAAAAGGAAAAATGCAAGAGGAACCCTGATTGGAGTTTAGGACGGGAAAAAAGAATATTAAATCTCAATCACTTCGGAGTCGTTTCTTAGGGACAGGGGATTCCAAGCATTCTCTTTAATTTCATGGATCTAATTTACATAATGGGCTAAATTTTACTATGCTAGGATGATGATGTAAATTTTTTTATTTATTTATTTTTTTTTTACGAGTAATTATATAATTTTATTAATCATTAGGATAATACATGGGGGTGTATTATCCAAATAAACAAGAAATAAAAGACATAAAGTTAGGCAACCCTTCTATACAATTAGTGGCCGCAGCATTAAACCAAGTATACTATATCCTATAAAACAATTCTCTAATATGCTCTATTGTTCTTGTTTGGTTTTCAAAACAATGGCTGTTCCTTTCTCTCCACACACACCATACAATGCCTCCCAAAATAAAACTCCACACAAGCCTCCAATCCTTATCTCGAAATTTTATATTCCATGCCCGCAACACGTCTTTTATGCACCTAGGTATCGCCCAATCCAAATGTTGGGAAGCTAAAATACCGTTCCACAGCCATCGAACACCATCACAATGGATGAACAAATGGTCAATGGTTTCCCCATCTCTCTTACACATATAACATCACTCAGTAACACAAAAACCTTTTCTTCGAAGATTGTCTATCGTTAACGCCTGCCCCCTCACAACTGTCCAAAACAAGAAAGCAACATGTGGAGGCAATTTACATTGCCACACCGTCTTCCAAGGAAATGAACTCTCCACCGGGTCAAATATGGTTATAAAATAAGAGCGAACTGAAAAAATACCATCCCGTTCTAACCTCCACCTGCTATGATCACACTCTCCTACCTAAATATGCGCCTCGTGCAAGGAAGTCAAAAACAGTGCATAATCATCCAATTCTCAATCTTGGAGTCCCCTCTCTAAAGCAATATTCTAGCTATAACTTTCATTATGTATGGCTATCACATCATTCACCATAGCGAACAGTTCCAAGGCATTGCATCCCAAAATCTGATATTGTTGCCATTCCCCACCACATATGTCAATTTATCTCAAAATTCATTCCATCCTCGTCGGATATACTTCCACAAACTCAACCCATAAGATCCACGACCCTCGATTGAGCACCAACTCCCTTCCATCACACCATACTTCGCTCCAATGATTTCTCTCCAAAAACTTTCCCTCTCCACTCCAAATCGCCAAAACCACTTGCCCAATAAAGCCTTATTAAACAGAATAAGGCTCTTCAATCCAAGGCCCCCCATTCTTACTGAAGAACAAACCACACCCCAATTAACAAGATAAAATTTTCTCTCTTCCCCTAACCCTGCCCAAAGAAACTCCCTTTGAATCCTCTCTAATCTGTTTGCCACTGTAACAGGAATGGGAAACAGTGATAAAAAATAAGTTGAGAGATTAGAGAGAGTGGATTTTATGAGGGTAAGGCGGCATCCCTTCGAAAAGTACATACGCTTCCACCCCGCTAACCTCTTCTCCATCCTTTCAACAATTCCACTCCAAATATGTTTACATTTAAACTTTACACCTAAAAGAAGCCCAAGGTATGACATGGGCAACTGCGTAACCTTACAACCCAATATATCTTATTTTAGATGCTAAATATTTGATTGGTGCTTGATTGCTTATTATTGTGTTAATTGTTTTTATATTATTTGGTCAATTTCACGATAAGTTTGAGAATCACATTAAGATCGAGAGATGGAATTTGCGTTTAGCTCTTTTAACAAATAACATAGATTTCGATAATGAATAGAAATATGACAAAATATGTCAATTCAATTGTTACTAAATTTAGGACTGTTTATATGTATATCTTTACAACTGGTGAAGCAAAACTAGGGAAGAATCAAACTAAACTGGGAAAGAATCAAATCAGGAGATCTCCTAATCTTAGGAGACAAATCAGAACTAATTCCCAAATTTTGGAAATACAATAGAAGTAAAAATTCCTATATTACAGCACATGCATATCTTTCCACAAAATATATAGCTCTGGTCTATGCGATCATTGAATGGTGCTTTAATGTGCTTAATGGGGTATTTTTTGTTTGCAAATTCTCAAGGAGATAGGGAATGCATACATTATAATAAGTTTGACTTTACTTGAGAAAGATTGTCAAATAATGAAGGGGCGCCGATCGTCCACACAATCCAGACTAGAACTTGATTAGAAAGTAAATAACTAGGTGGGTCAAAATGCTAGTACTTTTTCAGACTCACATTTTAAGTTAATTTAGCCATGGTCTTGATTGCTTTAATTTTATTTGTTGCTTGTCAATTAATTACTTAGTTAAATGATCAAATCAATTTTTGCGTGTGCCTTAGAAATTCAATTGACTAATATTCAATTGCTTAAATAGAAGTAGACCAATACTCACGGGATTCGACGCTTCTCATCACTTTATTATTTGATCATCACGACCGATGCACTTGCGGTATTACACCATCAAACAGGTATTTCAGAAACTTATATGTCCTAAAAGACCACAAAATCGTAGTAGATTCATACTCGCATTCCCGGCTAAATTACCTCATTTAGTTTAAGAAAGCAGCACAATAAATTCCTTTATCCTCTGATACTCGGACTCTTCGAAATGGTTGCAGTATCCATATCGAATACGACACGACATGGGTATGGGTATGGGATGCGTTGGATCCTCCAAGTTTCAACCGACCACTTCGCCGTTTTTTGCTTCTTTCTTTTTTCTTTTTTTTTTCTCTCATTTTCTACTCTCTATAAACCTAGCGCCACCTCCGAGAGGGGAGAGAAAGGTGACGGCGCTAGGTTTTCCCTTCTTCTTTCCTTTTTTCCCCTTTTCTATTATCCGTTTTTTCCTTCTTTCCCTCTCTGTATCTGTGGTTTAGGGTTTTGTTTATATAAAATGAAAATGGGTTTCATACAATACTACTTAGTGCTCCATTAAATCCAAATTGCAATCAAATTCCTCATTTTCTATTTTATATAACATTTAGTATTTAACTTCTCATAATTGAAAACTAAACTCCAAAATTCTAATTTATTTGTCTTAACCCCTTATTTAATACTATTTCCTTCTTTGTGAACAATTGATTCTGGTCTATTCAAAATAACATCTTGAGTTAGTGAAAAAATTGAGGTTTCAAAGACGTACCCACGTACCCGTGTCCAAAATTTAGACCCTTTTTAGTCATATCCCCGTATCCTACATTTTAAAAAATAAAAGAACTGACACTTATATACGTACCCGTACCCGAGTCCGAGCATCATAGCCTTTATCTCAAAAACGGTACTTATTAATTCAAATCCCATTAAGATCAGAAATACAACTGCTAAATTGTAGTGACTGAAAAACAATAAAAATTGCCACTCAAGTAGTCCAAGTTTATCAGAAGCCACAACATATAGAGAATAAATCTCCTAGAGATTGTCACCATATAAAAGTAAGTACGGATAAAATATACCTTCACACCTGACAGCTTGCGTCCTAGTTTCTCACTTTCATCCACATAGATTGGTGAATCAAGAGCCTTAGAATATAAGACCTCCCAACCAGCTACCTGAATTGCAATTAGCAAAAGTAAAACTTCAAAAAGATTAATCTAATAAATAAAATAAATTTCTTAGAAAATCCAGGTAGTTTTTTTTCTCTGTGGACAGTTCACTTGAGAAAAATTATGTGTGAGGGTGAGAGGAAAGCAGAAAAGAGAGAGGCGTGGGTGTACACAGAAAGAGGGAGAGGGAAAAAGATAGCAGCGTGCATCTTGTGGGTGTTAAGATGGAAACAGAAAGAGGGAGGGATTCAAACCAGAAAATCATATATATCCATGACCCAGAAGATTAGACCCATGCTAGGTAAAGATTCTTTGAAACTATTTTTCCCCCAAACTCAATTTTGACCACACATTCTCTCAATAAAACAATTTTACATGTGAACTCATTACTTTTCTTTACTTTTTAACCCCACCAAAAAAAAAAAAAAAAGAAGAAGAAGAAGAATTTTACTTTCCCAAAATCTATTCTCAAAAATATACATCAAATAGGCACTAGGTTTTCCCAAACGTCCGTGTCATATCATAAATAAATATAATTGAGGCACTGAAGGAAAGATCAAGCTTACAGATATCTCTGAGCTCACTGATAGAGCAGAATTAATTTCCTCAATCAGCTTACTAGCTTCTTGGTGATATTCCTGCATATGCATTCACACACAAATGTCAATCACAGATCCAGAGTCCACAACACAGGCAGGAAGACCACAGCCAGTGAAATGAGTTCGACCTTCAACTGAAGATGGCTGGGCTCATTGCAAGGAACATTGCCTAACTTCAGCAACTCCTTAACATGTTCCATCCGCACTCTCTCTGTGTCATGGTTCCGATTGCATGACCACAATTTCACCTTAGAAAGGCAATCTCTTACAGCTTCTACCCAATTTTGAGCTTCAATTATGTTCTTTGCCATGTCCCGCACCTACAGGCCATGTAAAGTAAAAGCATCTTCAATTGCAAGAATCCTCAATCTCCAGAGTTCAGATCGAAAATTAGAGCTTACGTGATCCATTTCAGAACCAGCCCAAAGAAATTGTTCAGCTTCCTTCAGTGCACTTGCATAAGCATCCTTGTCGTACGAATTCTTGAGAACCTCATGTGACCTTAGAAGCCATTCTTCGGCAAGCTGCAGATGCGTAACATGACCACCTTTTGCCTAAACATGGATAAAGTCAAAGGGCATGCTTTCAAATAATACTGCAAGTATAATACAGATAAATTTCAAAATACATTGTTAGAAAAGGTACAGACCTTTACCATCACAGTAGGTTTTAATAAGTTTCTTCCAGAAGCATACAAATATGTCTCATAAATAATACAAGCATGAACAGTTTGCCCTTGGTGGCAAACAATCATATTTCGATTAGTGGTTCAGTGATTAAACATTTTAAATAAACTAATCTAACGAAAACCTGCCCCAAATGCAGAAGATTAAACATCTAAAGAAATTTTCAGACTATTTTACATTCCTTTGCTATAATGCAATGATAGTTCCTCTTCTCCTGGTCTAGTGGCTCAGGTCGGGTGTGCCCTTGATTCTATTCTTTTTTGTTTGTGACGAACGTACTTAGACACAAGATCTTTCCATCACACAATCCCAAGTCTAACTGTTATTACTTATATCCAAAATCTAGTGTCAACGTTGTAATATAATCATTTATCTACCTTTTCACATCTATATCACTAGTAACTTATCAGTTTTGCGACAAAAGTAGAGAAAATCACTAAAAGTGCAGGCTAATTACAAGATTTTGATATTAAGAGCTTAATTGACGTAAAACTTATTTCATGATTTCCAGAACCATTTAATCCATGACAGAAATATGTTCGCTGTCCAAAACAGAAAGTAGGTGCATATAAGAACAGTCAGAATAATAGAGGAGGCAAGAATTATACAAATCACAAATATACAGAATACAATTTGTATAAAGAAGAGGCAGTTACTTTCTTTCACTAACCACAGTGGAATGGAGCAAGAACAATTTTTATATTCTAGCCATGAAGCAGCACAAATAAGCTTAGAAGACTCAACAAAACAATTAGAGTTTGCAAGCGGAATAAGTAGGTTCATCACACAAGAAGGTATGCCCAACCTTTTTCGCCAAAGTTACTGTTTTTTCCCAGCACAGAACGCTTTGTGAATCTCCACTTGTCTCTTCAGAATTAGTTTTATCAGTTCTAAGCACCAAATCATTCAATTCTTTCAGCGTATGACGATAAAATAGGCAAAGTTTGTTAGGCTTGCATTCACAAAGGCGGTCCCAATGCTGCATGAAAGAAGGAACATGAGATCCATTGATGGATGTTCAAACAACACCTTATTATTTCTCAATTTCATATTTTTAAAAAAGACCAGCACCAATATGAAGTTAAATAAAATTATCAACTGCCTAAAGCAGATGGTTAACAAAATCAGCCGGTAGAATACCAAACAGAAATTAAATGGCTCAAATATGAAAATTGAAGAAAGCTACAGGCTTAGAACTCATCAATAAGATTATAAAGAAAAATCAGAAGGGCCAGAAATTGCCCTCCATGACCCATCCCGCCCTGAAAACAAATCCAATTGAATGAAAACCCCTTGCATTTTAGACATTTTTCTTTGACTTTCTTCTTTCTTTCTTAAACCCAGAGTCTTTACTTGATCCAGGATGTGTGATGTATATGCCATTCCGAAGTGATCTATTAATCTACTAATAAGTCGTTTCATGGCAGTTCCATCTATCACTTTATTGTGAAATACCAGATTGGCCGTTCTACCATAAGTACCTCCATATTCTGCTAAGAGCTTAAAATACAAGTTACGGAAATAGGAGAAAGGAGAATTCATTTATGTGGCAAAACTTCTATATAACACATATGCACATGCATACATACAAATTTATATGCAGGGAGAGGGATATATTTCCAAGTATACTGTATATATAACCGGGTTGAGTTTGCAGTGAGTTGACCACAACCTACTTCCTTTAGAAACTATATCCGACAACCCCCTCTGCGAACTCACTTGTTAATGCAAAGTGTTTGGGGCTGGTACCTTCTTAACCCACTACGATTGCCATCCCCTACCTGAAATATCTGAAAGTATCATAATAAATTCATCTGCATTATCAATTCACTCACCTCCAGGCAAACAGATGCTGGTGGTCTACAGTTGCAAGCAACAGCAGATAGATATAATGATTGTTGGCAGATGACACATGTAGGATCCTGCATGAGACATAAGATGATATTTCTCAACAGCGCACCAAATCTCATTTTGGTACCATGAGACTGAAGAATAAGAAAATCAACTAAATTACCTCTTCAGTACCCACATACTCAGGCTGCTCTCGAGGTGACATAGGAGAAGATCTAATGATGCCATTTCTCCAAAGCTTCTCTCTCCAAGTTTTCTCTTTATTGTGTATCCTAACCAATTCCTTTTTCAAGTAAGTTGATACTCTGCTATCAAATTCACCCTGCAAAGAAGTATCGCAATAACTCCAAAGCATCAATAGATTCGTACAACGACCAGCAGGATTTTGAATAAATAAAAGGTCAGTGGTGGACAATGGCATGTGATGATGACATCCAGAAAAGAAATGAAAGACCATGAGCAGAATTTCACAACCATGCAGCTATTTTATGGCTTCCATGAGTAGAGGAACTAAAGAGAAAAGGTGGAATAAATGCTCAATAACTGAAGTTTGAGGATTCATGAAGTGGATGAAGAAAACTAAGCTGTCTTCAAGAACAGATAAAATATAGTTTAGGAAGAAATAAAGCTAGAGGCTGAATCTGATACAAAATTTGAGATGAATTGTCATTTTACTATGAAAACAAAGAAAACATCTCTTGCTTTCTCAAACAGCCATCAGCACTACATTTACAGCTCACCATACCGCATATCAAATAACTGTACATATAATAATCACATATTTAGTATAAATAATCATAGTGTAATCCCATACATTACGCAAGGAAATTAAGGGTAAACTATTGTCATGCATTCAACCAGGAGCGACAACTATGAAGCATGAGTATCTTAATTGTTGTAGTTACATTATATCTTCAATGATTGAAGGATTATGCTGTCAATACTCTCATTTCACTATCAAGAAGCTAAAATTGGTAAAAAAAATAAAAACATAAATCTAGATGAAGCAGGCTGAGTGAGAAACTGGACCTTTCCTACTACACACAGAAGCTCATCATGAGAGAGTACAGCAGCTTTGTGATAACGACGGTAAAGCTCTGATCCAAAACCACCATGAGGTAGCCAATCAGCAGGAGCAAAATTGACTGCCTCGGCACAATTCAAACCTGTCATTGCAAAGAGTAATAAAATTTCCAAATAATTATACATTACATGTGATCCATCACAGCACACAGAGATTATGCACTACAGTGCTGTGAGACTGACACACCACACACTTGCAAAGTATGAAAAGAATATAAGCAGTTTTGCGCACCAAAGTTGAAGCCTCCATGATAAGATCGGGGAAAAGTGATGACAAAGTTCCCTGGCTCCTGCCAAGGTAAAACAGTTGGAACGATTATAGAGATATGGAGACAAGATTTACAGCTCAAAGATACAAAAGATCAAGCCGCTGATAGTAAAATATTTCACGCTGCTATAGATGAGAGAGAATCAAATTTTATGGTCAAATAAAAAAGGGACGAGATTTCTAGAATATGCTAAAATGTCAAAAATAATAAAAAATAAATAAATTCAACACGACAATAGCATTAATGTGCATTCATATAATCAAAGACAAAAAGCTTGAAAGGTTTTGACCTAAAGATGTTTGCCTAAGATTAAATGAGCCAAACAGGCTGCGGGTCAGCTGATCAGGGTGAGTATATGAACCAATTAACATTCAAATAATATGAAAATATTCTAGCCACCTAAGCACAGATTGATTCTAACCAAGCAAATCTACAGGTTGGAAGGATTAGCTTAATCATGATTCAGCTTTACTGGCTACTTTATAAGTTTAAGTTCGAAAGAATTGATCATCAGAACAGCAATGAGAAGTTAACAGAGCAATCAACACACGCTAAAACCAGTAGTTAACAGCAGCAAAATTTCCTGCGAACTGAATTTTATAGATGACTCCTCCATTGTTTCAAGTTCTCTAAGATTTGAAGTGTAATATGAAAACGGTAATAGGGAACCAATAAGCTTAGCCATTAATTGGTAAATCTCGCAAAAGACAAAAATACATGTATTTCCAAGTACACAAGATTATGCCATACCTGTATAATGCTGTAAACTGGAACCCTTTTCGCAAGGAGGACAGATGGATTCAGCATTGTGACGAGCTGAAACAATAGATCTGGCTGTGCATCAAACAAATCGGGAAGACTATCTTGCATTACCTGCATAAAGAAAAGAAGGTCAACAGTTTGCTCGAGTCTTGACCAAAGAACCAGAATGGAAAGACCTCACCTTCAAAGTCAAACCAATATTAGAAGTCACTTTTTCTGTTACTTAAAAACCAAAAAAAGAAAGAAAAACTCATCTTCTAACCAAAAAGAATGCAGTTCTTTAATTTACAGAATGAAAGCAAAAAAAAAAGGACAAAGATAGTTCAAACCAAACAATGAAGAAAAACATTAGGCAAGGACATAGCCGCAGAAGAAACATTACCACCAAAGACATTAAAACAAAGGAATTATGATAAGCATCACCAAGCGAGATATATATTCCCATAAAGAAAGATTTTTTTAAGAGTCTCCACCAGACAGAAAAACTAACATAAAGTATGACAAGTACTTGTACCAAAACCTCAACCAATATCTTTTCCATGCGCAAGCAAAGAGAAACGGACGAATGTGGTTGTATATGCTTTCTATATGTGGAAACAATAGGAACCTCTCGCCTGCCCTGACCTCATTACTAAAATTCATTAGATGAAGCACTGTCATAAGTTCTAAAAAATAAGAAATTGAACACATCCTGCTGAAAAAACTAGTGCTGAAAGGTGGAGGCCTAGGCATGGAGGGGTGAGAAAAAGCCTGGAATAAAAGGTAGGTGTGGAAAAAGGAGGTCAACCATAATTTGATAGCCTAACATGATCCTTCCAATGTTCCTTTTTTTAGGTTAAATAAACTAAATAAATAAAAGGAAGAGTTGTTATATGGAAAATTAGAAAGTAGAAACTGTTTTTAACAAGAAAAAATTATAATTTAAGTATAAATCTCTTTCTAACTTATTAATTGCATGCAACTGGCGATAGACTTATTAGGTTTCAACTTTCAAGGTATGTAACATTTTATTTATTTAATGGTCTTAGAATAATTAAAATAACATCAAAAATAGAAAAATGTCTTATTAAGCCTGGGCACACTTAAAGACTCGTAAGGCTTAAGGCTTGACCTTGTGGCCTTGCCACGCCTTGTGCCTTTTAGAACCTTGGCAAAAACCAAGGCATGAATTTCTTAATCACCACTAAACAAAAAATCTAGCAGAACATATACCGACTATTTCATAACTAAACCTCGTCCAGGTCATCTTTTCCACACATAAGCAAAGAGAAAAGGTGTATAAATTTGTATATGCTTTCTATACATCAAGACAAAAGTAAATTCTGGCTGGCACATACCTCATTCTACAGACTAGCTGAAGCAATACATGAAATTATAAATTGGAAGAACAAAGAGATGAGACAAATTATTGTGTAGAACCGAAATACCTTTTCAAAAGCACAGGCATCATTACCAGGGACACTGTACCAGCATTTTGGCTCTCCCCTGAAAGCATGTGTAAAAGATCAATTCAAGAAATAATATGTTCCCACATATTAAACTAACATATCCAAAGCAGACTGACAGAATAAGAATAGAAGAGATGTATCTGAACGTGCACTTGTACGCATGAGAGAGAGATTGACCTCATTACATTTCTGTTCACTGATGAAAAACATAAATGTTCTGTATAAAACGACCTCCAAGACCCCAAACATCAGTATTTTCCAAAACAAGGACATTTATGTTTAGTTAATAGTCTCTGAGATAAGAAACACTATATAATAATAGTTACTGGAAGCAAGTAACCCTTTTATAACTATAATCCAAAGCAACCAAGCGGTTACATTTACTCATTAAAGTGGGTCACAATTTACTAAAATACCACTCAAAGAATGAAAAATTCACTAGTATACAAGAAAGGAGCCAATGTTTGGCCTGCATTTTTTAAAAACTCATCTTTCTTCAAACTCATTTTCAACCACATATTTCATGGGGCCCACAACTTTTATCAACTTTTCTACCATGCATTTAATCAACCTTTACCAAATGTTCTAAAATCTAATTTTTGACAAAACCAAACAGGGGCGAAATAACATTTTCATGCGTCCAGAAGTGAACAAGCATTACAACTAATAAAATAATCATAATTGGGTGTGATTTAATGCTGAAGATAAAGATGAAGATTAAGATTTGAAAAACATTTTTTATGTGACATACTTATTTCTATTGTGAAAGACAGTCTTCGTGTAATAACTGATTAATTTGTGGGAGCCAGAGAAACTTTACCCATGAAGGAAAACTTAGTCAAAGCAAATGCAAGCCCTTAGCTTGCTGATAAGTGCGGCCTTAACTCTCTGCAAAATCTTATGTTTTACGATGTTTTAATGAAATTGAGTCGATGGTGAAAGGAATCAGCCGTGTAAACATGAAAAAGTGGGCATGAATGTAAGTTTGTTAAGTTGAAATTTTGCTAAAAGACATATCAAGTCTCCAAAGAATTTTGAATAAGAATAACCATTACTTTATGAATGCATATGCAAGTAACTCTCTGTACATGATATAGATTAAAAGCAACTAAGGTTTTAAGCATGTATACGATTCCTGAAAATATTTTTGATAGTTGAATATGATACGAAAGACATGTGGTTTTAAGTGACTGAGAAGTAAAATTA